CTTCCTTCCTTCCTTCCTTCCTTCCTTCCTTCCTTCCTTCCTTCCTTCCTTCCTTCCTTCCTTCCGGTTAGCTATTACATTAAATTTGTATGTGTGTATGTGCATAAGGAGTCTCCAGTTGTTTTCTGGGAAGTTCTTTTTCTTTTCAGACAAGATTTCCTCATGGCCTGGAACTTGCTATGTAGACCAGGCTGGCCTCAAACTCATAGAGATCCACCTGCCTCTGCCTCCCAAATGCTGAGATTAAAGTCATGGGCCTCTGGGAAGTTCTTTAACGTTGCTGTGGGTGTAGCTCTGTAGTGACAGAGCAGGAGCCTAGAGCTTGCAAGGGTCGGGGTCCAGAGCTAGAGGAGGGCACATATGCTGTGGAAAGAGTCATTCTGCCACTGCTGTCCATGTCTCCTTTCTGTGTCATACAAGTCTTTAGCTGTGCTCCAGGCTGTCCCGATTAAGGATGTTTTTCTAGCTCTCAGGTAGACAGATGTGATCATGTGAAAAAGTTATGGCCAGCGGTCTATGCAGAGAAGTGAGGCATGTACAATTTGGCAAACACAGTTAAAGGAAGTGTCTTCTCCTTTGGGTTGTCCTGTCCCTCTGGCTGGGACTGAGATGTGGAGGGGCTTCCCTTTAGACCTCATGGCAGCTGAGTGTGATATCCTAGAGACACAGGGCAGCAAAAGCATCGGGCCTTGAGCTCCGTGCATCTCCGGGTTGCTCAAGCCTGGGCTGTTAGGGCAGGCAGTAAACTCTATGCTTACAACACTCCCAGTTCAGGTTTTTGTTACATCAGCCATACCCACATCCTAACGAATGCCTGCGCTGAACAAAGCATCTGGGAACAGTATGTATGTCATTCAAATGTCGCAATGTGTGTAAGAGCTACGCACACCACACACACACACACACACACACACACACACACACACACACACACACACACACACACGGGAGCACCACCCACTATTGTTCATGCTGTGCATTCACCACTTTGATCTTTCCAGGCCTCTCTAGCTTGTGCCTCCTTTCTTAGAACCCAACCTCATGAACTTGACCCTCTCTGGTTCCTGTAGCATCCTCTTGAGTGGGCTCCTGGCCGCTGTGTTGTCTCAACAGGGATGCTGTGTGCTTCCTGTTGACCCTTCTCACACTGGATGGAGGTGGCCTGTTTCCTGGGCTGTGGGCTCACTTAGGGCAGGAGCTGTCTCCCATCCTACCCGAAAGCCTGTTCCACATTAAGCCCACAATACATCCTTGTCAAATGATCATACATATGAATGAAAGAGGGACCGGAGGAATGCATAAAAATCACTGGAGACTGGGAAGTCTGCAATGGTTTTATGCATTCCTCATTATATTTGAGAAGCCACTTCTCTGTGCGTTTGATGCTGACACACGTGAGGCTTTGCAATATGGATGCCTGATATAAAAAAGGCTTTTATTTGGGAGGGACGCACTAGACATCGAAAATGAAACGCCCCTCCTTTTTTCTTTTTCTTTGTACAAACTAAGCCTCCAGATGCAGTGAAAGGCACGTAACTTTCCATCCAGTCCTGTACTCATCTATTCCCTTCCACCCTCACAAAATCCCCCTATCTCTATCCCATTATTTTCGAGAAGCAATCACCTCATAAATCCCACCCCACTGAGTCAAATTTAGGTCATCTTTTATTTGGTCAAAATATAGTCTTACTGCCAAGTGGTATCACTATTATTTGGGAACACACATATTGTTTTACGTACAGCTGTGTAGTATTTTATGTTCTCATATAAATGTGATGCCTGGATTATAGCAGAGGCAAACTGGACCCCATTTATTTTAAAAAATAATGGTCAATCAGGTTCATTCTCTCTACCTTCCTGACAGTTTTCTATTTCTCAGAGGGCTCCTCGTCCCGGCTCCACAGTGTTGCTGGGGCGGCTGGTGCTTTCCAGGGAGAGTTTTTCCTATCAGTCCGCCTGAAGCCCTTAGCTGAAGGAGGAGGGAACGTGTAAAAATCTGCTACATCATCGAGGGGCTCTGACAAAAATATGGCTCCCACTGCTACACTCCCAGAAAGCTGCTTTGTGTAGGGAGCACAATCTGCAAAACTGTCAAGTTCTCCAAAGGAAAGATCTGGAAGGTGGAGAAACCTGACACTGTTCCTTGGGGAAGGGCATTTGGGACAGATGAAAGGATTCCTCATGGTCATGTACCTCACCATGGACACTAGTATCTTATTTCCAGGATCTTCCTTGTACACACACACACACACACACACACACACACAATTTTTAAAAAAATCTTTTCCTCACTAGCAAATGATGAAGCTAAAATAGAATTCTGGCTCTGAAACTTGAGCTCTGTGCACTGCGTTTGTTGATGCCTCTGCTTCTGTATTTATGACATGTCACCTTGTACTTCTGTGTCTATTTGTGTGTGTGCATACATTGCTCCTCTTACGGGGTTATGTTCAGGAACATTGCTCTGGAACGCCTTTCACGGAGTTACTTAGGGCATTCCAGAGCCTCATTTTGAACAGAACCAGCCTCCTGTATAATGAAACACATGCTCCATACAGATGAATTTGAATGTTCAAATCAAATAAGAAAATATGCTCATTTATGCGTGGTTAGGCATTTCCCCCCTTTTCTGTCGGCGGGATCGGGAGCCATATTTTTGTCAGATGCTTCTCTTGTGTGATTGTGTCTTCTTTGGGGTCTGAAGGGAGAGCTCTGCATCCCACAGCAGGCCATAGGGGAACTACCAGGACGGAGTGGGAAGGAGCCCAGGATCCAACATTACCTTCAAGAGCATGCCCTGGTGACATAACTTCCACTGGGCCCTAGGTGACATACTTCCTAAGGATACCCCACTTCCCAGTAGCCTTGAACACATGGTCCCTTGTGGGGTATTAAAGATGTAAAACTAGCCGGGCGATGGTGGTGGTAGCGCACACCTTTAATCCCAGCACTCAGGAGGCAGAGCCAGGCAGATCTCTGTAAGTTTGAGGCCAGCCTGGGCTACAGGGTGAGTTCCAGGAAAGGCACCAAGGCTACACAGAGAAACCCTGTCTCGAAGAACCAAAAAAAAAAGAAAACTGTGAAACTGTGGCAACAGTGGCCTGTCCACCACCCCACAAAGGGACATAGAAGGAAGGTGGTCATTTGGCCACACGTCAGAGGGGTCCTACTAGAGAAGACCCTAACACTGTCACCCTTTCTTCCCACTCCGTTCCTGAACATAACCCTAGCTGATTGCCCATTTATGTGTAACGTTCTGTAGACGTCAACCCTTGCTGTGGGCAACTGAAATTTGTTAGTCACTTGTCCCTCCTGACTGGTGCTCACCTGACGGAAGTACACAGAGGCAAAGAGGGCGCACACAGATGCGCTGGGAGGAGCTCCTACATGGGCGGCTCACTCTGCCCCCCGCCCCCCATTCTAGTCCATTTTAAGTACGAATGCTGGTCGGGACTCATGGAGGAGCCACAAGTCTGTTCGGGTTCTACTCTAGTAAGAAAAGCTTTTACACACTCCTCAGTGTCCTTTAGGGCTCTGCCAGGAAGACCCCTATTTCAGAAAACCCTTCCTACCTCTCAAGAGACCCCGTGCCTCCCACTAGTCTACTATTTTGCACTTGGAGCTTATCTTACCCATTTTCCATAGATGGTCTGTAAGGACTTTGAACCAGGGCAGTTAGGATTCTTCTGGTGCCTCCAATCTCTTCCTCTTCCTTCCCACTTTCTTTCTTCCTCCTCTCCCCTCTCCTCCTCCCCCTCCTCCTCTTCCTTTCCTGCCCCCCCCTGGTCTTTTCTTCCTCCCTCTCCTTCTTTTCTTCTCCCCTCCCCTTTTCTCTTGTCCCAGCATGATGTTTACCACAGTGTGTACTCATTACAAATGTGTGCTGTCTTCCTTCTTCGCTGTCCTAAAAAAAAATGTACGTACAGAGAAATGGAGCCACCAACAGCCTATGTGAGTCATCTTGGATGTGGCTCCCCGCATTCTCCAAGCCTGGCTGAGCTTCAGCTTGTCTTGAGGAATGTGTTCCTGCCTCTCAGTGTGAGGTTCCTGGAACAGATCCTCATAGGAGTGTGACATCATTACTACCCCATGGTCTCGTGGAGGGCTGGGTCCGGCTCTCCTTCTTCCTAACCTGGAACAAAGAACGACTGGATTTTTTGTCCCATTTGAACCCCTCACAAACTGTTTTCCTTTCTGGCCTGTTCCTCCTCCATCCTCATCCACTCCCTGGCTGATCCAGACTCATCATAGCGTCTGTCTGTCTTTGGATCATAAAACCTTTCTTTTCTTGGCTGGGACACATGGTAATGCTTCTATAGAACAACTAAACCTCATTTCAAGGTGAGTTAATTTCCTACCAGCTTCCTGTGGCTGAGACCGTGAATCTGCTGAGGGTTAGAGTCCAGAGTCTGCACACCTGAGGTGTTCAAGCTGTCCCTGACAAGCTTTTGTCTTCGTACCCTTGTGTCTGGCTATTCTTGTCCCCTCTGCCTTCACTGAGGCTGGCATTTCCATGGCCCTCCCTCCTGCCCTCCCTCAGGTTGGCTTTTTGCTTGTGTGAGTGCTTCTTGGACTGACCTCTGTCTTGACTACACAATGATCTCGGAAGGTCGGCTTCCGTGCTTGTGAGATGGATCCGGGAGTACTCACCCAGCAGGGCTGTCCGAAGTCCAGCGGCAGGCCGTAGGGAAAGCGGCCAGCACGGGGTAAGAAAGGAGAGATCCCAGAGCTTCTCCTCCAGTTCCCTGGGCTGGCGAGGACACAGGGGCCTTCCGCAGCTACCTGAGGTCTAAGGTGGCGCAGCCTCTGTTTCTCTGTCACCCACCACGGGTGCTGCACTCTAGTTCTGCCGCCTGGGACTCGGCGGACTCTTCTTCTCCCCCACCCCCTCACCTTTTGGTTTCATCTGTCCTCCTGTCTAGGTTTTCACTGCTCTCCCTCAGGGCCGAGAACCCCTCTGCCATCTGCCCTCACCACCCCAGCTGTTCGTCGGTCACCCAATCCTTTTACAGTATTCCTTTCCCAGGTAGTCAACAAATGACTGCATTCTCCGAGCATCTCCCAAAGAAATGGCCTCTGCTTTGTCTCTTTGTGTGGGTGTGGTGTGCCTGTGTGTGGGTGTGTTTGTGTGTGGAGGCCAGAGGCTGATGTGTCCTGTCTTCTTTCCACCATATGGATTGAGGCAGGGTCTCTCCCTCGAACCCAGAGCTCACCAGTTCAGCTGGTCTCCTTAGCCAGCTTGCTCTGGAGGTCCCTGGTCTCTGTCTTCTGGGTACTGGGATTACTCACAGGCTGTTACTCCTACCCAGCATTTGGGTGGGTGCTGGAGATGCAAACTCTGGTCCTCACGCTTGGGCAGCAAGTCTTTCCCCACGGAACCACCTCCTTACCCTCCGCCTCTCTCTTTGTTGTTTTGGGGACAGGATTCCATGTAACACACTCTGTTGCTGTGGATGGACTTGAACTCCAGGGCCTCTTGTCTTCCACGTGCTGGGATTGCAGGTGTGTACTTCCACACTTAACTGTTTCTTTAAAAATGCCTGACATTGCCAGCCTGGGCTACCAAGTGAGTTCCAGGAAAGGCGCAAAGCTACACAGAGAAAACCTGTCTCGAAAAACCAAAAAAAAAAAATGCCTGACATTGCTGTTACATTTCCTTTTACATTTTATTTATTCGTATATTTAGTGTGTGTGTGTGTGTGTGTGTGTGTGTGTGTGTGTGTGTGTGTGTGATGTGTGGAGGTTAGAGGACAACTTGTGTAAGTTGGCTCTTTCCTCCCACCACGTGGATTGAAACTGGCATTGAAACTCAGACCCTCAGACTCAGCCTTGGCTGCTAGGCATTTCCTACCTGCTGAACCATCTTTGGCTCAACCTTGCTGTTTCAATACAAGTGAGGCTCTTGCAGGAGCTGCTCCTGAATTCCTGACTCCATGAGTCCTCAGGGGGCGAAGGGGGTCCCTTTCACCAGCTCACTGAGGGAGACCCTCCCTAAAGACACACCAAGGCAGTCCCTGTCAAAGATGTAATCTTCAAACTTCAATGCTACCCAAGCTTTTGGTTATAGAGACAAGAAACCCTCAGAAGGCCCTATGGGATAGCCTGAAGGACACTTCAGACCCATTCTGAATTTTGTCATTAGTTTGCAAAGTCACTGGGGTTGTGTTTCTCACTCCATCTATAACCACTAACGTGTCTGAGACTTTAGGAGCATTCCTCACCCTTGATTCTTTTTCAATACACTCTCCATGGGGTTAGAAATTAAAGATGAAACCCTAGAGCACAGAATACTTATTTATTTCCCACTTTACCTCCTTCCCTGGTCTAGTCAAGAAACTTTCAAGAGAAAAAAAACTCCCCAAAGGAGCTATGGGAATAGTGGAAATTGACTCTTCTTTTGTCACCAGGTACTCTAATGATGCAACATAGACTGCCTTGGTGTTATGGGGTGACTAGCGTGGATTAGTGACTGTTACAGAAATGCAGCTGAGGAGGGCCAAACTTCCTTCAGTGTTTGCCTCTGCTTTTGACTTATTTGACACTAGTGATGAAACTCAGGATATAGCCCCTGAATTTACCCCCTTGAGCTCCTAGCTGAGAGATCCTAGAGAGAGGCAGAGTCAGGAACCTCCCCCCACACCCTAAGGATAGAATCTGGGGAGTTCCCTCATCCCCTTAAAGACCTGAATCAGCCAAGATGAAGCACAGTGATCTTTTCTTATTGACATGGCAGATTAAACCCATCACAGAGGAGACCGGAAACCAAACCCTACACTAGAGTCCAGAGGAACTCTGTCCCAGGTCATGGCCCATTTTTCTGGGCTTCTTCTCTCCACTGAAAAGGAATTCTTCAATACTGTCTTACAACCCCAACTTCTCTCCGATGAAGAGGGTATTTAGTCTTTAACCACCTGCACCCTCTTTGAGTTTTGTCTTTCCTGTGGCTCCATTTGCATAAGATGATGCTTGGCTGTCTGTCTGTCAGTTTATTTCAGCATACCCAGTTGTAGAAACATCAACGAGAAGGTCTGAACTCCCCTACCTTGGGCAAGTTAACTGACAAGGTTTTGGATTTATGGGTGCAATGTTACCCCTGTCACTGTTTAGTTGGAGTGAGCCCCTGAGACTACAGGAGTGTCCAGGGAAGGAGTGGCTAGGTCAGCCTTTATAGTGAAAAATAGCCAAATGTAAGAGACAGGCGAGGTCTCAAAGGAAACTGGAGGGCGCTCTGGTGGTGGACGAGCTGGTTTTGGCTGATTAGTTCTGAGCTGGGGAAATGGGAGATTCAGGCAAGGTTATATGGTTCTTCATGGCAAAGCTGAACAAAACCCACTTTACTGCCTGTTTTATAGATTATGACTTTTAATGACTCCTGCAGCAGACAGTCCCTTCTCCCTGAAGCGAATGTGAACTTGTTAATCTGCAGTTAGTTTTGCATTTAAATAGCACCTTGCATTTCCAAGGTGCTTATCAACCATTCATTTATTCTTCCTCCTGCTAGATCCCACCCTTTTCTGTGTGTTGGGTGATTGGTTTATCTGAGGCAGGTTCATCCGTAGTCCAGGCTGGCCTTGAACTCCCGATCCTTCTGCCTCTACTTCAAAAGTGTGAGGATTATAGGCATTGCCACTGTGCTCAGGATATGTTGCTTTATTTCCCTTGAGATAGGGATTCTAGAAGTCTTAGGTCACTGTGAATTCCCTGGCCACAGTCCAGATGTTGACCTAGCCATTTGTGTGCGGTGTGCCTGTGTGTGGGAGCGTTTGTGTGTGCTGGCAGGAGGTGGATGTTGCCTGTCTTCTTTCCTCCTCCTCATGAATTGAGGCAGTGTCCCTCACTTGAACCCAGAGCTCACCAACTTAGCTAGTCTAGCTGGCTAGATTGGACCCCCCTTTGTGATCCGTAAAGGATCGTGTTATGAGAATTCATTCAGTTTTATCACCCTGAAGCCTGAAATGATCCATCCACTGATCCATAAAAGTCTGTCCATCATTTTCTTCTTTCAGGTCTGTGGCCCTGATGCCCCCAGGTCATCTGGAGTCTGATCATGCCAGGATAAAAAATAAATAAAGTAAATAAAAGGAAGAAGGGGCCATGTGACTCCTCTCTCTTCTCTTTTTAAGAGGTCAATTAGGACGGCAAGAAGCACCATCTCCTTCCAGCCTGTATAGCCCAAGGTCCTGGGTATAGCAAACACCATTACATTTCCCCTTTTTGTCTAAATAAGAAGGTTCTAAACCTACTGCAAACTGTATACAATAAGAATGATTATCAAGTAAGTATTGTCCAGGAGAAACAAAGGCTAATAACACAAACAAAAATGGAACTACAACCAACAAGAACAACATCAAACAAGAAACACATGCTAAATGTCCAGAAATGTCCAGAACATAGGTAAATGGCAAATTATGGAGATTACTCCAATAGCTGTCCTATCCTAAAGAATCTAACTCTAGTACCTAACATGTTTTTAGCGAAGATATGAGAGGATCATAACTGTAACTATCTAGTCTTCAACCCCATCAAAGATCTGAGAAGGAAAATAGTGTTACCTGAGAAAACAGGAAGTACAAACAAGCAATTTCTGAAAAATTGCAAGAATAGACAGAGACAGCTGGCAGCCTGGATGGTCACCTAAAGATTCTCAGCACTGTTGGGACATCCATTTTGGCTACAGCCCTAGAATATCTGACCCTTCCACACCCCAGCCCTCTCCAGTGCCAGGGATTTAGTTTCTACTTAGCAAAATATTTTGCCTTTAATCTCTGCACTCAGGGGGCAGAACAGGCAGATCTCTGTGAGTTTGAGGGTGGCTGGTTCTGCATAGTGAGTTCTGGGATAGCCAAAAGCTACATAGAGAGAACTTGCCTCAAACAAAACAAAACAAAATAAAACAAAACAAAACAAAACAAAACAAAACAAGACAAGACAAGACAAGACAAGACAAGACAAGACAAGACAAAACAAAACAAAACAAAACAAAACAAAACATTTTTTTTATTTGCATCATAGTCAAATCACAGTCAAATAATTTGCCTAGAACATTCATTTTGGAGTGTAATATGTAGCCTCACCCACTGGCCGCCAAATCCATTTCAGATAGCTAAGTGTCAGCACTGCTTTTTAGTTTGTTGAGTAAATTGTCCACTTTGTCATATCTTCCTGCTCTTTTTTATTTGGTGGTATCCCTGAGCCGCAGATGCTATAGACATATCCAGTGTGGCTGGGTTCCCCACCATCCATGGATCTCTACACTGTGTTCACCTCCCCACCCCCACACACACCTTTTTTTTTTTTTTTTTTTTTAACTCTTTGCTCTTCTGGAGGCCTGCCACCCAGCTCCCAAATAATCACATGGAAACTTATTCTTTCTTATGAATGTCTGACCTTAGCTTGACTTATTTCTAGCTAGCTTTTCTTAAATCATGCCATCTACTTTTTGCCTCTGGGCTTTTACCTTTCTCTATTTCTGTCTATCTTTTCTTTCCTCCTTGAATTCCTTGTCTGGCTGGGTGGCTGATGAGCTGGCCCCTCTGGCATCTTCTTCTCCTTCTCCTTTTCTCACTCCTGTTCCTTTTCTCTTTCTCCTCCTACTTATTCTCTCTGCCTGCCAGCCCTGCCTATCCCTCTCCTGCCTAGCTATTGGCTGTTCAGCTCTTTATTAGACCAATTAGGCATTTCAGACAGGCCCAGGAACACAGCTTCATAGATTTTTAACAACAAATGCAACATAAAAGAATGCAACACATCTTTGCGTCATTAAACAAATATTCCACAGCATAAGCGAATGTAATACATCTTCAACTACTATTCTACAAGAAGGGGTGGTAGCTACACTTATCTGTGGGTAAAAGGATAAGATTTAGAATGCAGTTAGGAATTTATGCCAGTCTGGCAAAGGGGCAACAGTAGATTCTTTTCTAAGACCCACGACCTCACTAGTTTTGAGTAGTCGGCTAGGTTTCCACTACAAGGCATGGTTTTCCTCCTGTTTGAGAGGGATGTAAGTCACGTAGACAGACTCACTGTACCACCAACACATCAGCCACTGTTGCATCGTTAGGGATAGTCTGGCCGTGACTGCCATGGTTGTGGTTCATAGCTGTCACGGCTGGAATAGGACTATAAATTGCTTCCTTCCCTTGCAGTTTGCACAGTACTTTTTGGTACTATAGAAGCTAGACTGTAGGAAAGAGGCTTTCAGTTAGATCCAGCTTGAATCATCCAGGTTCTGCGTCCTAAATGTACCATGTGTCTTCAACAAGAGAGACTTAACTTCAACCTCTGAGAGGCAACTGAGGGCAACGACAATAGCTTATGTATTTGGGGGTCACCTGGGCTCTCCTGGGGTCATTTTTACTCTCTTCCTTCTTTGTTTTGTATCAATTAAGAAGCCTAGTTAGAGACTTTTTATTTATTTATTTATTTATTTATTTATTTATTTATTTATTTATTTATTTATTATTTATATTTTGGGGACGTCCCCTGTTGTTGCCAGAACTGTCATGGAGCTCCTGTCCAGCTTCAGTCTCCTGATGTGGGGTACCAGATAGTGCCGCCATGTTCAGCTCATCATCTCACATTTCAGGTATGAGTCTAGAGAGCTTTTTCATGTCAGTAGGGTAGGGCTGAGAGGAAGTGAACTGTCTGTCCCCTGAAGTGTTTGAAATGAATAATACATGGGCAAGAGGCAGAAGGACGGGAGAGAAAGCATTGTGCGGGCTGGTCTTATGTCAGTTTGGCACAGTGAAAGGAAGGAACATCCATTGAGAAAATACTTCCATAAAATCTGGCAGTAGAGGACAGGGACAAAGTTCCTCTGGGCTCTGTGGGAGACAGCAGCAAGTCACAGAAAGATGATGGCAGTGTGTCACCGTGAATAAAGTCTGTCTTCCGGAGATAATCTCCCAGGTACTCTCTTGGAGGCTCGACTAGTTATCTGTGTTGTTGCTGAGATGAAACACCCTGACAAAAGTAGCCTATGGAGGGCGAGACTTACTTTGGCTTAGAGTTGGAGAGGTCTGTCCTGAGGCATGGCAGCAGCAACCTAGAGCTGCTAGTCACCTTGCGTTCACAGCTAGGGAGTAAAGAGCCATGAGGTGTGGTGCTCAGCCTGGAAAACAATTGCATTTCCTCGGGAAGATGTTCCCTCTGTGAGAGAAGGGAGGTTAGACACCTTAATTCTCAGGCAGCCTCTAAGGCCTTCCAGTTTCCTGTAGTTTGAAGTGCTCAGCGTGCAAGCCTCTTCTGAAGCGTTGCTTTCTGACCTCAGCTGTAGAGTGCCTCCGTCTGTGACCACCTGCCTCTGGTGGCAGAGGGAGACAGCGCTGTCGCAGCTGCTGCTTGCTCCCCTTGCAGGCCAACCAGCACCAACACAGCAAACGTTTTCACGAATCGCTTCCACAGCTCTCCAAAGCCAGGAGCGTGCTTCCTCTCTGTCACTCTGCGTCCTCATGGCGTATGCGCGCTAGGGTGTCAGCATCTGTGTGCTTCTGCAGCTGCCTCCAGTTTCTGGCACCTACTTACCTGTGGTTAGAGTTGGTGATCATCTTTGACTGTGCGCCTCCAGGTCTGTGCTTCGCTGTTTTACTCAGAACTCATCTTCTTTCTGAAAAGTGGCCTCTTTTAGGCTTCTAGGGAGCTCCAGGGACCAGCTGAGCTTTCAGAGAATGACATGCAAATGGTGTGGTGTTTAGCTAGGTTGTAGATGTGAGTGCAACCCTTGCTTCTTGCAAAGTGCAAGGACAAAGTGACAACAGTGTCTCTGAAAACCGGCCTTAAAGGTGAGGTTTCTCCCATTAGAATACCCAGTGTTGCTATGGGATTTCAGAAGATTTGAGAATGCAAAAAGTTTGGTTTTCACAGCTTTGCCAGTTCCATAGGCTGAAGTTAATTTCCAGGTGGATAAAATGGACTCAAGACAGGGGCTCTATGAGATGGTTCAGTGGGTCAGAGCCCATGTACACACGCCTGGAGACCCAAGTGTGATCTCTGGAACCTGTGGAAAGGAGGGATGAGAGAGCTGACTCCACCACATAGCTGTCCTCCGACCATCATGTGTGTACAGTGGTAAGCACACCCATATACACATCATGAGCACACACACACACACACACACACACACACACACACACACACACACACACAATTTAAAAAAGTAAGTGCTGATAGACATTTAGGCTGAGTTTATTCCTTAGCAATTAGGAATCATGTAGCAATACATGGGTGTGCGGGCATCTCCGTGGTATGTTGACTTAGAGTCCTTCAGGTGTATACTGAGGAATAATCTGTTTGGATCATAGGACAGGTCCATTTTCAGTATTTCGAGGAGCCTTCATGCTGACCTCCATAGGACGTAGATAGTTACAGATGGTAATGACATTGGTCAGCTGCCTTTTGTGAGAATGAGGAGGAAGAGGGTGCCATTTCTGTGGGGCCTGAGAGGTTAAGATAAGATGTGGGGAGAAGCCTTAATATGTGGGTTGGCCAGAACCCCACAGCTAGGCTGGCCAGCACACACTTCTGAGGCTCTTTCTATGAGGCTCTGGGGTGGGTTTATGGCCAACTGCCCTTTTAATTAGCACAGTGAAGGTTGGAAAGAATGTTCTATTGCTGAAACCGATAGCTTGTTAAGTTCCAATCCTAGAAATGGGCCCTCAGGGTTGGTAAGTTATTTGGAGTGTTTTAGAGGCTCCTTAACTTGTTCAAACAGAAAGTAAGACTAACTTGAAACTGATGCCTTTTGCCCATGGGAATGGTCCTTGAGGTTCCGTTCTGAAGGGCTTCAAAATATGCCACCTTAACATATGCACTTTGGCATATGGATTATTTTGAGCTAGAGGCAACCGAATAGGAGCAGACCCAGAAAGAGCTCTCTGCCACCCTCCCCCCATCTGTCTAAAAGCAGGGCATACATTTCCCATGAGAATGGCGTGCTCCTTGTACCAGGAAGAGCAGAACAGCTCTTATCACTGGAGACAGGGAGCCCGTAAATGACTGTACATAAATAGACCTCACTGAAGTAACCCTTATCATCTGTTCATTTCCGCCATATACTCCTAATCATCTCCCCCAATTTATCAACC